ATGGGAGTGGCTCCATTTCAGGAGGAGATCCAGAGCGTGACGGATGAAGCCGAGCAGAAGAAGGAGGAGGAGGCAGGTGTGCTAGCAACCAACCACATGCAAGATGAGGTCGGCTGCAACAGCCGTGTTCGTTGCACATCCACAACCAACCACATGCAAGATGAGGCCGGCTGCAACAGCCGTGTTCGTGAGGTCAGCTGCAACAGCCGTGTTCGTTGCGCATCCATGTGTTTACGTAGCTGTTTGTTTCTTGTTTGGGGCGGCTGCAACAGCCTTGTAGCGGGATTGGAGAACGCTTATCTCAGATTTTGGCAAATGGTTGCACTTCTAGAAAGTATTTCGAAATTTTGTCTGTGCAAGGTACCTAGAGTCGGACCGAACAGCTCTCAGGGAAGAAGGAAACAGTGGTATGACAAAGTACATTTTTCAATTACAGAAACACTTGATTTTCAATAGATGTCATGGTACCATATTTGAGTTTTAATGCTCCCTCTTTCTCACATGGGACGGCTGCAACAGCCTTGTGCAGAGGATGATGAAATTTGGGTTTGGAAGTTGAGTATTTCCACAGCCCTAATGTGATTGAAGAATCACGCACAGGCGACGCCGAAGCCGGGTGGCTGCAACAGCCAGGAGCGTTCCCCAGATGCAGACGACGGGGGCTACGCAGACCTCGTGCGCAACGTGTGCACGTTGGAGGACATCGAGAGGGACAAGGACAATGCGTTGGCCGGTTGGATGGAAAAGGCTGACAACCTCGTCAGAAAGTACATCCATCTGGTGCCGGAGCAAGACAGCGGCAGCGACATGGCAGCATCGCTGCGAAACATGTCCGTTGTGAAGATGATGAGCGTCGAGAGCCGACGTGTCGGTATCTTCTACACGTGCCAGCACGCAGGTGAGTCCGACACCATGCCACACTGTAGGGGACCCGCCTTCCGGCTGGACCATCTGCAGAAGATGATCGGCGGCACTATCAAGGCCTGCGGCCTCGATGCCATGCCGCCAGGCGCTGTGTACTTCATCTTGAATGGCGGCAGCTTCGGCAACAACGATGCCTTCGGGAAGGCTTTCCTGGACAAGAACAACAAGGCCATGGCCAAGAATAAAGACCTGGTGTACCTGGCCCTGGAGGAGGAATCGATGCAAAAGCGAAGGCTACGCAAGAGAGGCGGTCTCAACTTGATGCAAGGCATCGTGATCTACACCCCGGTCACCATGGAGCTCATCCGAGGGAGCAGCCACACGCAGGAGAGGCTGCACTACACAACGACGACGCCGAGCAGCAACATAATTTCTGGAGTCGCGATGGAGCCCTACGAGGATCTGTGGCTGCTCGAGCCGGGGGTGAAAAAAGGGATCATGAAGGCCGGGATTGTCAGGGCCGGAGGGAGCTGCCCTGACCACCTGAGGGAGGACAAGCCGGAGATCTCCGGCCAGGGCTCGAAGGTACCGCTCAGCTGGCACTCGTTGCCCCACCAGCTGTGGGAAGAATTCTTTCATTCCTACGAGCTGGATGCCGGTGTTTTTCTAACACTTCTGGATGAGCAGCCGGCTGTAGCAGCCTTAAGGTCTCAGAAGCAGGCCGTGGGAATGACCTTGAACTCGGCTCACATGGACCTCATGTATGCTCGCCTGGCCAGCGTTGTCTTCCAGGCTTTCCGCGATCCAACTGATGATCTCTACGAGCCCGCTCTTGGGAAGCTGCTCGGAGTAAAGAAGAGGACGACCAAGACCACGGTGTCTCGGAACAATCCTAAAAAGAAGCCAGAAAAGCCAAAGAAGGGCAAGAAAGAACCCAAGCGCAAGAAAACAACCAAGAAGAAGAAGAAGACAGATGATGAGCAGGAAGAGGACGAGGAGGAAGAGCCGGAAGAAGATGAAGGAAAAGACGATGATGAGAACCCCCTTGACTCGGACGAAGGTGACCTGAGCGATCAGTAGAGCAGACCGGCTCAACCCAAGAGCCCCGCCAACACAAGTTGGCTGCAAGGGGCCATTTTAACAGCTTCCAAGGGCCTCGGTGGCAGAGACACAAGCCTTTACACCCGGACGGCTGAAACAGCCCTGAAGCAAGAGGATGAAGAAACCCAAGCCTTTTTACACACGAAAGCGCACAGACAGTTGGCTGCCACAGGCCGCATTTTGGTCCGTCAGCTGCAACAGCTTCGGAAGGCCACGCAAGTTTTTCACAGTTCTGCGTGCATGCGTGCTCGCGTGAAAAGTGGCCCTGAGCATGCTAGCTTCTGGGAGTGATTAGCATCTGAGCGGTTTTCGTATTTTGCAAGCGAGCAGTCTTGGTTTCAGTCGCCGCTGCCAGCCGGATCAGGTAGGGTCGACTGCAACAGTCTTCATGGTCTGGGCCATGCCGGTGAAAGTGGTGAGTGCATGTGCAGGTCTGGGAACAGAGAGCTTCGCGTTGAAAGATTTGGGCATTGCCTGGTAGATCCTTTGCGTGTAATTTTACACTCTCGGAAAATTTACACGCAAAACGTGGTATAAATAATTTATACGCCAAAATGGGGTGTAAAAAATTTACACTTTTGCGTGTAAATTTTGGCGTGTAAATTTTGTCATATGATGTTAAATG